CCTACCACGTGACGGCCCTTGTTACTCACCTTTGTCCTCTCTTACCTTTGTTCTGATGTCCTGTCTCTCTGCTGTGCTGTCCCCACGCTCTCCTGCAGATTGGCTTGTTGACTTGTTTCATCCACAGAGTGAAAGTATTGTGACCGGCAGCTCCCGAGGTGCACGCTTCATGTCCAGACAGCTCAGTTCCTGGCTCAGCTCGGGTCACGTGTCCACCACAATCAAGGCTCCAGGGTGCCCTGTGTGATGTTGTTGATTATGGGGAGGGACAGGAAGCGTGACTGAGCAGACATCTGGTTGGTCCCTCCTGTAACTTACTGCTCGTCCCATAGCCAACATGAAGCCACTTCCACGCACCAGGACATGGAATGGGAAGTGTGTTGTCCCTGTCCCCAAAGTACCCACAGCCTAGGGAGGGTGCCAGATGGACCAACCAAAGGTGAACCCATGAGCCAGTTGGGCTATTAGGCACTTTGGACACAATGGTGGACAATATAACTAGCAACGAAAATGAAACCACTGTCGTGAAGCTAAATGATAAACAAGACACATCAGTAAAATATGTGGTATGTTACAATTGCATTATGAAAATATCTCAGGTATTGAGAATATTGAGATAGGAAAATGAAAAACATGAACATGAAATGATTCAATTTCAATATGAAATGTTACAAGCTAAGGAAAGCCAAAAATGAATCAGTAAAGTGGGATGGGGACTGTCATGTTAAATGGGGTGGTCGTGGGCGGATTCAGTGAGAAAGTGACATTCAAATGAGGACTTGAGGGAAGGGAGCCAGCCAGCCTGGAGGAATGTGGGAAGGGTAACCCAGGCCTTGGGAACAGCGAGTACGGAGGCCTGGAGGTGGGGTGGGCATACTGTGCGCATGGAATGGAGCGGGGAAGGTAGTGCGTGAGCTCAGAGACATAGCAGGGAGCCTCACCCTGGAGGCCCACCAGCCATCGTAGGGCTTTCCGGGTCCCTCTGGGCTGAGATAAGGCCGGAGCGCTTGCTGGGGGCAGGGTGAGGGAGGCCTCCTAGAAACCCACTGGTATTATAGTGACAAACATTTTCCCTCGGTCTGTTTTTATTGTCTGTTTAGGTGTGTTATCTGAGGCCGGCTTAATTAGACCTCCCTGTGGATTGTCTCACCTGGTGTCAGGGAGGCGGTAGGAGCTGTAGGGCTCTGCTCAGCTCTCTGAGGTGGAGGAGGGCCCCCTGCCAGTCACCTGTACGTGCCTCAGTCTCATCTCTCAGGGCACTACTTTTCGCGTGCTTGCTCCACAGTGTCTGAGTCCATCCTTGTAGCAGGCAGGGGTTACTGCCCCGTTTTTCGAATGGGGCCCCTGAGTAGCAGAGAAGAAAGAGCCCAGGGCCACTCGGGGTGAGCTGGACAGCGCCGGACAGGGGAGGCGCTGCCCCCACCACTGGCCTGTCTTGAGCGGCTCTTTCTAATGGGCTGCCATACTGTGCGACAAGCCTGTATGTGTCAGTGGTACAGATATGCCCGTGGCTGTTAAAAATTCTTTGTTCCCTTTGGGGAAATTATGTCATGCCCTTATTAGCTGAAAGAATCCTTATGTGACTGTGAATGGGGGTTTTGGGGTCCAAATCTGGGCCCTGCCACCGACCACTTCCTAACCTGAAAAGTTGCTCAGAGTCTCGATCCTAGAACCTCATGTGTAGGAGGGGGGGCACCACCTCCCTCCCCAGGCTTTGGGATGCAGTGGTGAAATCAGACACATCAAGCGTGAGTTTAGCTACTGACAGGCAGTCCCTCAGGAAGTGAGCCAGCCAGGTGTGTTGTGTGACCAATGAATTAAGCGTTTGAGAAATCAACCTCTTGTTTTCCTTTGTAACCCTTCTTTTCTTATCCTGGGATGCTGCGTGATTTGCATCCAGATACAAGCCATTTGATGTTCATCTGCCAGCCCTTTGAAGCCATTCTAACCTCAAGTAAATACTAGGTTCCCTGTCAACTCTCCCTGTAATTCTCAGGAGTATCTTGATAGAAAACAATCGGATTGTCTCAAAGCATTGCTCTTTTATGATTAGTCATGAGTCTACATTGCATTATTTTAATTAGGCAGCAAAAGAATATGTCAGGCTCTCTCCCCAGCCTGCTTGGTGCAGGGGCTGTCAGTGGTTACCGAAAACATCTGTAATATTTATTGTCTGGGTTCTGATTCCTCAGTCAGAGATGGCTTTTAGGAGCTGCCTTCTTTCCTTGTTTTCTGCAGAGGCTTGGGAGGATAACCATAAAAGGCTGATTCTTGATCTCATACGAGGCGATTCCATTTCTTCATTTCAGGACATTTTTTTAGCACTTATACTCGTTTACTCTTTGATCCAAGTGTATTGGTAATGAGCGAAAATACTATCAACGCAAAGAATGGTTTTGTCCGCTTTCTCCCCCACGGTGGCGGTGGGGAATCCAGACACCGTTTAGTTCAGGCTGCCTGACACAATAATGATGTATGAATGCGAGCCACGAATCAGTGGGGAAGTGTGTGCGGCTGAGGTTTTATGGAAGATGGGGAGAAATGGGTGCCCTTAGGCTTGAAAAAAGGTGAGACTGTATTTAAGAAAGTGGTCATTCCTCTCTAATAGTGACCTGTCTACCTTACATGTGACGAAGTGTCCCCACACTTTGGACTTACAGAATTACAAAACCTAGAATTTGGGGCTCGTGCACATGAACTGACAGGTACAGTGTAGTATAATGTGGTTATACTGTCATTTCCTCTTGCTGTTCCTATTGAAAGGGTCATGCACGTAAGCTGTTCAAAATTTCCCTTTTGTTTCAGTTCAGTTTAATAAAATGCATGGAAAATGTTCAATATGTGCCTCGTACTCTGGTGCCGGGGGTGCCAAGACGGTCCCTGCCCCGGTCAGCCAACGGCAGCCCCAGGCTTGTGCGCAGGTGGTGGCAGTGCGTGGACAGGAGTGTGTGGACAGGAGTGTGTGGGGAGCAAGCGGAGGGTCTGGCTCGTAGCCTGGCTCCCGGAGATGTTCACCTTGGGCTTCGGGTGGAAGTACGGCTCTGTGCTGAGAGGGCGTTCATCCCGGGTGGGCGATGTCAGCAAAGGTAAAGCAGACTGTTCCGAGGCTTCGCGTCGTCCTGTGTGAGGGAGCCTAACGCCAGGAGGGGGAGGCGAAAGGTGGGGAGAGTCACTTCCAGTTTGGAGCCCACCTGTGCTGGGCTCTGGAGCTTTGACTTTGTTCTGCAGTTGGAATCACTGGTGTTTTTAGGAAGGGCTGTGGGAGAGTTTATGTGTTCGCGTGTGTGCGTGTGCGTGTGTGCTGGATGGATGGATGGATGGAGGGGAGGGTTGCTCGAAGGCAAGGAAACCAGTTCAGAGGCCTTTGCCATTGTTCAGGAAAGAAGTGAGGTGGGCCTAGGACAGTGGTGGAGGTATTAGGAACACAGGGCATAGAGAAACAGTTAGGAGAAGAAATCAGATGCCGAGCAGAATGAGCTGAGTCGACTTAGGGCCATGGGCAGGATGAGGAAGGCTCCCTGGCCTCTACCTTGGTGAGGTGAGGGATAAACGGGAGGCTGGAGGTGGAGCCCATGGGGTGGGTAAGACAGCGAGTCCCATTTAGGGCATTTGGGACAGTGAGGCGGGCAGCACAGCAGACAGCTGGCTCCTCACGTCTCAGGTTCCGGGAGGGGATCAGAGCAGAAGATGCAGATTTGGACACCAGAGGTTTACAAAAGCCCGCAGGGGTCAGTTATATGCCAGGATGCTTGCAGAAGGCAAAGAGGTGTGCGGGCTGAAATGAAGGCCGGGCGATGGGAGGAAACGCCCCAAGGATTCTCAGAAGAAATGGCCCGAGAGGCCCAGGGAGGCAGTGGTGGTTTGAATTCAGAGGAGCAGATGGCCTCGTGCTGTAGAGTCCAGTAAACTAAGCTCTGAAATCCACCATTGGCTTGGCACCACGGAGCTCATTGGTCACTGCGGTGAGAATGGGTTTCGGGGTGAGCCGGTGCCATCAGCCGGGTTTCTTGGGTTCAGAGCACATAGGGAGGGAGAACAGAGGCTGCAGAGGTAGACCTCTGCTTTCACCCAGCTTGTCTGAGAAGGGAAGCTGTGAGAGGTCCCCAGGAGGAGCCTGTGGGTCTGTGGCGCCACGTGCAGTGGCTGTGGCCGTGGTCCCCCGAGCAGGCTTGCGCCATTTGACGCTGCTTGGTGGACAACTTCCTGCGATGAAAAGTAGGTCGTGTTTATACTGGGTTGTACATGTTTGTATTACTGCAAGTCAAGGTTTTACTTATGCTAATCAGGGGGTAAGAAATGTCCCCTGTATATCCATTAATTTCTGTTAACGTGTGCCTGTTCATCCCATTATTAATTGTTTACATATTGCCAAGACATTAATCCTCTTAAAAGAGCAATGCGTTGTATTTCACTGTGGTTTTCTTTCTGTCACCCCTTCAAATCTGCCTTTTACGCCCCTACCCGAGGTAGGTTCCTGAAACACAGGCTGATGGCATCTGCAGGCGCCCCGGCTCTCAGGATGGCGCCCATGCTCTAGTGCGTGGCTCAGGCCCTGCTGTTCCGGCCCCGTGGCCTCTCCAGGGCCAGCTCTGGGCTCTCCCCGGACCTCATGCTCTGCCTCCCGGGGGCAGACCCAGTTGCTCCACTCTCCCGACCGCTCCGGGGCCCACACCGTGCTGTCCTGCCCCTCCATGCTCTTTCCTCTGGTCAGCTGGACACACCTGTACTCTTGTTTTAGGAGCCAGCCCAGGTGTCACTGCCCATGGGACCTCCCCAGGCGGAGCTGGCTGGCTGCTCGTCTCGCCCCGCGGCGAACTCCCTTCTGTCCCCACCTTGGTGGGCTGAGCGTGCCGCCTTGCGTCTGCCCCACTTCGTGCCCCTGGCTTGCTGAGATTCTGGACTCCCAGATGGTGGGGGCATCCTCGTGCACCTGGCTCCATGCCTGGCACTGCCTCCCCACGTGGGAGTTGTGAGCCTGACGACAGTCCCCTCCTTTCCAGGGAAGCAGTTCAAGTGCACGGTGTGTGACTACACGGCGGCCCAGAAGCCCCAGCTGCTGCGGCACATGGAGCAGCACGCCTCCTTCAAGGTAAGGGGGCACGCGGGGGATGGGGTGCACGGCCTTTCAGGGGGGGGGGAGGCCGGGGCGCCTGCTCGTTAGCTCTGCTGCCCGCTCACGTTCCGGCCCCCTTGGCCAGTGCACACGGGATGGGCGAGCTACGCCTCAGGCTCCTGTGAGAAGGGTAGCGCTCCTCTGTGCTCCGGAGCCCAAGTGCAGGAACTGTGCGGGAGAGGACGCAGGCTAGGGAAAGGCACGCTCTTACCGTCAAACACTGCAGTGGCACACAGGAGAGAGTGCGGCTGAAAGGACAGGTGTGTGTGCTTTGAGACCGTGACCTCCTCAGGTAAGTCCCCCGACAGAACAGGTGTGAGGATGCCCACCTGGCAGGCTGCGGTAAGAGCTGGAGGTGGTGCCCACAGAGAGCCCACGGGAAGCAGTGGCTCTCCTGGTCCTTCAGTACCTCTAGCTGCTGTTCCTTTAATGCACATGGTAGTACCTGCTTGGCCACTGCTTACGCTGCAGTTATTCACCATAACAACTGTAGTCCAGTGAACTTGTTTTAGACACAATTCTGCCGAGCACGTGGCGACATGACCCTTACAGCAGCTGCTGCTGCAGGTATATACACGTGGACGTGGAAGACATGATGCTCTAAAATGTGTGTTGAAGTTATGCTCACTGCTAGCTCCCAGAGAGAGAGGTGGAAGTGGGGAGGGGGCGCTGGTCACACTCAGAGGTTGCATTAACTGAGCATCTGCTATGTGCCCACACTGTGCCGGGAACATCCTACCCCTCCGCCGTCCCCAGAGAAGCTCTTATCGTCCCTATTGGACAGATGGGGAACCTGAACCTCAGAGAAGTTTAACGGGGTACCTGTTAGTCTCTTCGGCCAAGCCCACACCCACAGAGTTCAGGCGATGTTGTAATAGTGACCAGCCTGTGTTGTCACCACTTTTGAGGTGACAAGCACCCTCCTCGTCGACAAGCTCATCTGATGCTCAGAGCAGCCTTGTGAGAGATGAGTGTTCATGATCTTCCCTCTTGTAGTTAAGGAGCCAAGGGGCTGAGAGGCGCCACGGGCTTGTGTGTCTGACTGTCCCGGGAGTGAAGGAGACAGAACCTGGGCTCTGCCTCCGAGCCCTCGGCCTGCCCTGTTCCTCCTGCATCTTCCACTTACTCATTCGGGCGGAAAGGGGGGGCCTGGAGAAACTGAGACTGTCATACTTGTTGCTGAGGTCGCTGTTTTAACATCTGCACCAAGCATGCGTTTCTTAGGTAAGAGACCCACGTGTCGCCTAGAGGGAGTGTCGCAGTGTCTTAATTGGGGAGGTTCTTCAGTGTTTTCATGTTTTGTACATACTCACAATTAAGAGATTTCTTTCACATTTTAAATGAATCGATGTGTTTCTTTGGGAGACTCTAGGTTTTCTTAGGCTGGTGCAATGGTGGAGCCAGAGGAAAAGAGCGAAGGCAGCCCTCACTTTATAAATGAGAAACTAGACCAGTGTGGTTAATGACTGTCCTCGCTGTTCCGGGATTGCAACTAGGCTTCTCATTCATTCCTTGGATTTCATGCGGAGCGTTTTCGTTTCCTGACTAGACGCAGCTGAGCAGCCGGTCTGCCCTGCAGTCCTCACTGTTTTCTTCCTAAGGACTGGGGAGTCTGGTTTCTGTGCGGAGGAAATGGGTTTGGGGATGGTTTGATTTAAGGTGTCACGCTCACGCGTAGTTCTCAACTTTTTCCTGCCGTCACACCATCGCCGTCCCCTGTGTGGCCTCGGGTGCTGCCGAGCTCTGCTGGACCTTGGGTCATGGCTGGCATCCCTCAGGCTCCTGTGGATTTAGGCGTCCTCCCTACTGGCCGGTACCCCGGCTGGGAATGAGATTCCGGCCTGAGTGTGAACCACCACGTCAGACCTTGGTTTTCGCATCCTGCAGGTTAGGGCACTCTTCTAGTACCAGTTAGTTGAAGCAGTCTCTCAGCTGACTGGGGCTGACAAAGCAAAATGAAATGGCTCCCTGCCAACACCTTCGTCCTACCAGTAATTTACTCTTTCCCTTTTGTCTCCACCCACCCCCTGTATTCCCTGTTACGGCTGTAACAAATCACCCCCTACTTAGTAGCTTAAAACAACACTAGTCTATTGCCTTCTAGTCTTGTTCAGAAATCCAACACGGTTTCGAGTTACAGTCAGGGCTGTGTTCTTTCTGGAGGCTCAAGAACAAAACCCATTGCCTTGCCTTTTCTGGCTTCTAGAGGCCACCCACTTCCTTGCCTCATGGCCCCTCCCTCCGTCTTCAAAGCCAGCAGCATAGCATCCATCATCTCTCTCCTCCACTGCCTCCCTCTCCCACTTGTCAGGACGCGTGTGGTTACAGGGGCTTATTTGGATAACCCAGGAGAGTGTCCTTCTCTTGAGGTCAGATGACC